CCCAAATCCCACCTGTTGTGTACAGTTAGCACTCAAGCCCCTAAATGCCTGACACACACGAGCATGCGCACACATTGCCCTAGCTCAGACTCTTCCGTGTTGTCTTCAGGGCGGGTCTGGCAACCCCAGGATATCCAGGCTATCCTGCTGCCTCTGAGCTGCCACCAGGCCCAGAACCACCTCCACAATCTTTCCAGTACTTGTCATGGTCCCCCTGACACCTTCCCCTGACTGCCTGTGGATTAATGGTTATCAACACTTGTGACTTACTGAGCACCTATCAGGTTTCGGGCTCCACCCTGCCAACTTCACAGGCTCCGTCACTTAGGAATGCATTCACCTGCATGTAGCAGAAACGTTGTGCAGCGGTTTAACCACGTCGATGTGTGCTTCTAACTCTGCAGCATCTCTGGCCCAGGCTCCCTCCTGCCTCACTGTCCTCAGCACACACCTTTTGATCCTGGGAGTCTAAGATGGCCGAGGGACGCAAAGTCAGAGAATGGCACTAAGTCTGTCCCCCTTATCTGGAAAGTTATAGCTTTCCTGAGGCCCCAGCCTGGCGGCTCACACAGTGCCCCACCCAGGGAGGCTGCAGAAGCATTTCTGACAGGACCCACATTTTCATAATAAAGGTTAAAGTTCATAGACCTCCGAGTCTAGGAAGGCTGGCTTCTTCCCACCTTTTGTATTGGCTCTAATTTAGTCCTCATGTCCAGCATGCCCTTCCTGCCAGCTGCAGCTAATGAACTCCTACCTCTCCAGAAAGCCCAGTTCAGATGCTACCTCCTCTGTGCAGTCTGCCAAGATTGCTCCTCCAGGGTCCTTCTCACTCCTGAATCTGTTGGTCCTGTCTCTTGACCTCTGCCTGCCTTGCACAGAGCCTGCTGGAAACTAAGCCTCTGGAGAACTTGCCCAGTAGAATGAGCAGATGAGCACTTGAATGAATGGTATTTTTGCCCTTTCTCTCAGGCCACATCCCTCTTTTGTAGTCTTGGCCAAGTCCTTCCCTACCTCTCTTACCTCCACGTTGCTGCTGCAGGGAGCAGAGCTCATGCCTCAGATCACTTCCACTCGGCACTGTGCTGTGTGACATTGGCCATGTCAGGCAGCATCTCTGAGCCAACGTAGTCATCTGTCAAAATGAGAGGCAGACCATGTGCAGTGGCTCACACCTATAATCCCAGCACTTTGGGAGGCCAAGGTGAGAGGATTGCCTGAGCCCACGTGTTCGAGACCAGCCTGGGCAATTTGGCGAGACCTCATCCCTACAATTAAAAAAAAATTAGCATGCATGGTGGTGTGTGCCTATAGTTCCAGCTACTTGGAAGGTTGAGGCGGAAGGATCACCTGAGCCCAGCAGGTCAAGGCTACAGTGGCTATAAGTGTGCCACTGCACTCCAGTCTGAGCAACAGAGTGAGACTCCAACTTAAAATAAACAAACAAACAAACAAATTAATTAATTAATTTTTAAAAATGAGAGGCTGCACTCAAAGTTTCTTTTTGTGCTAAAAATCTCAGACATGCCCTAATTCAAGCTTTTTATCTTTCTAGTACAGGAGAAGGATTCTATCACATTCTTATCTCACAGTTTAAAACCAGACTTCAAAGCAAACACTTATCTTAGTTGAATTGTCACAGCCTATGGATGGCCATCAATCATATGAAAATGGGGACTGTGTGAGCGGGAATCAGAGTTGCCTCCCTGAACTGGTTGGAGTTTCCATTTTTATTAAAGGTTTTGTTAGGCTGGGCACAGGGGCTCATGCCTATAATCCCACCACTTTGGGAGGCCAGGGCAGGAGGATTGCTTGAGCCCAGGAGTTCAAGAACAGCTTGGGCAACATACAAGACCTTGTCCCTACAAAAAGTCAAAAAAGTTACCCAGGCATAGTTGCACACACCTGTAGTCCCAGCTACTTGGGAGGCTGAGGCAGAAGGATTGCCTGAATCCAGAAGGTCAAGGTTGCAGTGAGCCATGGTTGTGCTACTGCACTCTAGCCTGGGCGACAGAATGAGACTCTGACTCAAAAAAAAAAAAAAGTTTTTGTTTAATTAAATATGCAGAAAAGTTCCATATCTTAAGTGTCCAGCTTGGTTAATTTTGCAAAGAGAATGCATCCATGTAATCACCATCCAGATTAAGACTTAGACTGTGACCATTTCATTGGTCACATTTCCAGCCACTTCACCCCTAGACTAACCACCACTCTGCCTGCAACCATGCCACATGGCTGCCTACGCTTGGACCCTTCCTGTTAGTGGAATCACAAGGTATGGACACGTTTGTGACAGGCTTCTTTCAGCAATATGTCTGTGAGATTCACCCATGTTGTACCAGTAGTGGTTCTCTTTCATTGCCATATAGGATTATACTGTATATCACCAGGTATTTATCCATTCCATAGCTGACAGGTATTTGGGTAGTTTCCAGTCTGGGACAATTAAGAACAAAGGTAGCTGGGCTCCGTGGTTCAGCCTGTAATCCCGTGTCTTTGGGAGGCTGAGGTGAGTGGATTGCCTGAGCCCGCGGGTTTGAGAGCCTCATCTCTACAATAAATCAAAAATCAGCTGGGTGTGGTAGAGCGTGCCTGTAATTCCAGCTACTCGGAAGGCTGAGGCTGGAAGGATCGCCGGAGCCCAGTGGGTCGAGGCTGCGGTGGCCGGGAGCGGCCACTACACTCCAGTCTGGGTGACGGAGTGAAACTCCAACTCAAAAAAAAAGAACAGAGGTACTAGGAACATTTACTATGTGTCTTTTGGTCAACATTAGCCCTCATCTCACCCAGGTATGCATCAGGAGTGGTACTGGCTAGGTCACACAGCAGTGTGGGCAGCCTGAGTAGGCACTGCTGGGCTGGTAGGGTGGACAGTAACATGGCATTCAGCACATACAGACTCTCAGAAGTGTGGGCTGGACCCAGGAGAGGCCAGTAACCAAGGAGGACTTCCCAGCACAAACCCACAAGCAGCCTCCAACATTACCATCAGGCAAGACCCCCTCTCCCACCAGACTGCGAAAGCCCATGGTACCATCTTCATCTCAGTCCCCTATGGTCCCCTGGGGTAGTGGCTCAGGTCAGCCTCCCACTGCTGTCTCCTCCACACACCTCACACCAGGTCAGCCCTCTAGCGGTCAGGGACTTGGTGTGGACTCACTGCCTGAGGAGTGGACAGAGAACAGGATGCCATGTTCCAAATGCGAGGCAGCCCCCAGCAATTACAGCCCTCTGCCAGCTCTCTGCTGTAATCAACTGGTAGACGTGAGCCCTGGTTGAGAGTGATAGGGAGTGGAACCAGAGACTGTTCCCAGGAACTGGGCCAACATCACTCCCCAGCTTTGTGGGCTTGAGGCCCCACACTGTTGCTGGGCCCGCCCTGCCACCTACAAATACATTTATGTGTTGTACCTGTGGTCAAAATGCCCACATGCCTTAGCCAGCCCCCGGCCACCTCCTCTAGCTCCCCTCAGCCACTCCCCACCTCTCCCCAGATCCTGTGACCCCAGGGGCCCAGAGTGCACTCCCAGGATCCCTGACTGGACCACCCTGCCCTGTCTCTTACTTCTAGTCACCAAAGAGTGCGTTCAAGTCAGCCCAGACCTGCCTCAAGCATGGCCCTGTAAGTGAAGATGGCAGCCATCACCACTGTTGTCAGACCTTCACGATGGTGCAAAGGGAGCAGCTGAATGGGTGGCCTGAGCACAAAGACTGCCTCCTAAGTTTTGGTCTGAGCATACTTAGGAGGGCAAAAAAAGGGGAGGAAAGAGGATTCTAGCCTGAGGGACTAGTCCATGTGAGGGGCTCAGAGGCACAGCTGAGAGGCTGAAGCCAGTCATGGGCCAGGTGATGGAGGTGACCTTTATTTGGAGGAAGGAGAGGAGGGGCACTCAGGGCTGGCAGTGAGGCCCAGGCAGGCCTTGTGGGGCCCCAAACACTCGGGCCAAGCCTCCAAGATGTGGCTTTTACTCCACTGCCGGCTCTGGAGGTTAGTGCCTGGCAGTGTCCCTTTCATGTTTAAGACATAAACCGTTCACTGTTCTTTTGATGGCCGCCCTCAATGAGGAGTCAAGAAGGGAGCTCGTGGGCGGCGGGAGAGTGAAAGGAAAAACTGGTCATCCCTACCGAGAGCCTGCCCCAGCAGGCACGCTATAGGGCTTCACTGGGGTCCAACAAAGTTATCTGCCCTGCTAGAGACACACAGCTGGCGACAGGGTTGGGCCCAGAGTTCAAATCATTCGACGCCAAACCTCGCCCCAACTTTACTCGCTGCGGGAACCCACGATCCAGAATCCGCGCAGAGCTGCCCTAAATACGAGTATTTCCCGCCAATGTCATCACGTCCAGGGGTAGGGCCCAGGAATCTGCATTTTAACAGGTGTTCCCAGTGATTCTCATGATACTGGCCAGCATGAGAATTCAGCCCTGCATCTTCAGGCCCCAGCGTAGCTGCTCGGCCCGGGCATAGGGGCCACCCGCCGCTCACGAGCCTCCTAAGCCTGGCAGGCCACGCGGGGGGCGCGGAGGGAGGCAAACACCGCCCTCTGGTGACAACGAGGCCATCGGCCACTTCTGCAAAGTCCACCCTCAGGGTCGCCGTCGGGCCGCTGCGCCCCCTCGCGGCCCCTGGGGTCAGTGGCCTGGGGCTCGACCAGTCCAGGGCTTCGAGCGGCG